TCCATCTCAGGACATAAAAACAAGCTGCTAAGCATTCTGGGAAATAGTTCCCACTCCCATCTTTTTCTTCTTCTAGTTTTTTTAAGTTCTAATCTAAAAACTCTAGTTTATTCAACTCTTAATATAAAAGTTAACTTGCTGCTCTAAGTTTATCTTTTACAAACTCACATTTAGGTTCAAAATCTGAAACTTGCTAAACTTATTTCATGTAAAGAGTAGAAGATAGTTGACACAACTAAATGCGACTCAAATGTTTTACAGTGAGGTTGTAACATGATAAAATATGAATAAGTTTCAGGAGTATTAATACTCTTTTGGGTAACTGTGTCTGTTTACCTCCTGCTCTGCAGTGACAGATGAACTATAAAAGTGTCCGTGTTACTGTGCCATATCCCCACATCAACTTTTGCCCTCTGCTTAATTTGGTTTCAATGACGTGACTCTTTTCAAATCTAATCTGCTGTCTGCCAGCCAAATGCATGAACACAGATGATAGGAAGATCCTCTCCACAGGGACAGATGCACAATTTGGGCGTAATTTAGCAATGTTCCTGTTTGAGAAACTATAATAGAACTACTTCAATACTAAATATAGCAAATGTTATGGAAATCAATTTGACTTATGTGTGAAGAAACATCTGGAAGGTTTTAGCTCTTCATTAGCAAAACCCTGAGGTCCCTCTTGGGAAAGATGTTCCCATTTAATAATTAGATTTCACTCCTGAGCATGAATGAAGATTGAGGAAGGCCTTTCAGCTGCTCCTCAGCAGACAAACATCTTCTGAAGTGTCAAGGGAGATGAGCACAATGACTCGCCTCACCGGTCCTGTTAGCTACAGGGGACCCAAAATTCATATTTTAGATGGTTTTATGTTTCCATTTGGGTCTCTACTGCTTCTAAAATCAGTCCAAGCACTGCGAAGACCCAGATGTGTTTAGGCTACAAATTGATGTCTTTTGGTGTCTGGAAAAAGACCCTCCCAGTTAAGTCACAATCCACAGGCACTGCAGCATTACCTAGCAACCCAAGCAGAGCTCCAGCATGTGCTGTATAATGGCTGCTGGAAGAGACAAGTGATTTGTAGAGGACTTACCATCCAGAAACCACTTGCTGCATTCTTGTTGGTTGAGCAGGAGGCTCCACTTGTGCTTTTCAAAGATGTACAGTTGTATAGTTGTGGATCTGTTTGCAGTCATTTTCATGTTGAAATGTAAATGTTGGGAGCCCAGCAGCAGCTAATTTGGATTTAAAGTAATAAGAGACTCTACCAGAAGTCATTCTGAAAGGAGCTCACAATAGGCAGAAGTGACCAGAATAAAATCTCATTATGTAAGAATAATTTTGTGCAAAAAATTTAAGGAATATATTTTGTATATCTTGTGCCTGTTTGTGATTATACTTGTCTGGCTAAATTAGTTTTATAGGGTTTCCTCTGAAGTTAAGGTGATGTTTACTCATGCTCCTAATGGTCTTCCATGCTGAAGTCCTGCTGTGAAAAACACATTTCCTCAAGCTTCTAGATGTGAGTTTGCTCTCCTGGTTTAGTCAGAGTTGAGCACAGGTTTTTATTTATGCAGATGACGTGGCAGCAGTGAGTGAATGCATGCATAAACAGAAGACCTTTTCCGTAAAACAGTACAGAAAGGTTGTAAATGGGATGACATATTTACATATTGGAAATCTATAAAATCAATAAAAATATTTACAAAACAAAAAAAAAACCCCTGAAAAACAGATCTCGTTGAGTTGAAACCTGTCCTGTCTTGGTTCGTCTCCCCGCAGGTCGGAGAGATCCGGGCGCATGCTGCAGAGTGGACCGCCAACGTCTCTGCGGAGTTCAAAGAAACCCGTCGCCGCGTCAGCGTCGAGATCTACGACAAGTTCCAGCGAGCCGCATCCATCAAACGCAAACTGTCCTCAGAGCTGGGATTCAGTTCGGCGCCTGAACTCACGCTTCCACGTCGGGCCACGTCGATCAATTTCACCGACGAACGGGAGAGGAATGACAAGGAGGCCGGGCTAAAGGGTCTGAGCGCGCCGCTGACCAGAAACGGATCGCTGGTGAACGGGCTGGACCTGGAGAGAGGAGACGTCTCGATTATCGAACACCTCAAGTAGAAGATGATTCTTCCAGGGTTAAAAGAGTTTGGGGAATTTCGTCAAACAAAGAGCTGAGAGAACAAACAGAACATGGTAAACAGTTTTCACTTCAGACAAATCTCTGTTTTCTCCAAATTACAACAGGTAGTAGCTGCTGATTTGGGTTCAGTCATTTATGAGGTGCCGTTTGTAAAGTTACTAAGCAAAAAATAAAAGATATAATATTTATAATATAAACATTATAATGTATGCATATCTATACTACTATGTTATATAATATTTTATAAAAATGAATATTGATATATCAATATTTGGTTTATTTAGCCTGTAAAAGAGAAAAAGTGAGTGTTTATTTATTAAAGTAAGATTTTCACCTTGTGATTCATACATTTTTAAATGCCTTGGTTGGTAAACATTTAATAAGCAAGTTAGTTAAATAGCTTGCTGATTAAAGCTGATCAACTATTACAAGCTAGTATTTAACTTGCAAATTAAATATTGACCTCCATTTTTGATATTTTTAATAGTTTGTTACCTGGCTACATTTCAAATCAAACACCAAATATATAGTTGATAAACCAAATATTTAGCTTTAACTAAATTTTAATTAAAAAGCAAAATATTTAGTTTGAAACTAAATATTTAACTTCATAACTAAACATTTAACTTGTAAGCTAAATATTTAACTCATTAATTAAATATTTAGTTTGTAACTGTGACATTTATAAATGTATGAATAACATATTGACTTTGAAAAATTAACATCTTTTTGTTTCTCTGCCAGGCTAAATAAACTAAATATTTCTGTTTATTTTACTGTGTAATTTTACAAATGTCACCTCATGGTCATTATCCACTGTTGAGGCCTGCAGTCAAAGTTTAACATTTGGAAAAACTTTAATTTGTCACACAGTGCCTTTCTGAGACTGACGCACATTATTATGTATTTTTAGAAAACAAAAACATGATGTGGGCTTTAACATGAAGAACTGGCTTTTTGCACGTCGCCTCAAATGCCTCTTAGGACTGTAGATTTAGTCAAAACAAGCTCATATCTCAACACATAATCTGTCTTTATTAAGTATTCTAACAATTAATTATGTTAAATACACAGTTTCACAACTTTGAATTGAGCTCCTGATACTATTTGCAGTTTTAAGCAAAAGACTTACAACTTCAGGCCTGCACAAAGCTGAACAGCTTGATCTTAATTTTTTACATAAATGTTTTAATAATTCATGATGCATGTATAATACAGCAGCTCCTATAAATGTCTTATTTTCATGGCCAACTCTGATTCTGCACATGTTCTCTTCTGCATATTGCATTGGAGTTGTAATTGTTTATTATTACCACGAAAAACCTTTGTGATAATTAAAATCTGTTTTCTTATTTGACTGTTTTTATTGAGTTGATGGTATGTTGTCATTGTTTGATCTTTATTCTCACTGTTACTTTATCATGATGTAGAAAAACAAACACTTTACCGACTGCAAGTCTGTCAACTCAGCAGCTGGTCACACGCTGTTATATTTTATTTTAAATTTGGTTTAATAATTTTAACTAAACAGTTAGCGCCTGTCTTTTTATAATAAAACTGATCATGAGTCATTCAGTCATAAATCTTCAACCAACCAGTTTTTAGAGAGACAGCCAATTTCAAGGCATTAAATTAGGAAGTAAAAGAAATAAGTAATATTTGGTATATACAACATTTTTATAACAATTGAAGTGAACATAATTACTTGGTTGTGCTACAAAATGGCACTATGTGCCTAGAAAATACATAATATTGCCCCTTTAAGACCTCTTTGGATCAAGGTAATTGATCCAAATTACCTTGATCAATTTCTGAAACTCAGAAAACATTTTTGTTAACTGAAATCTCTAGAAATGGTAATGAAGTTGTGATGGACTCTGACCTGAACCTTCAGAGCCACATAAAGACAGTTCCAAAGTCGGCCTTCTATCACCTGACGAACATCTCCAGGATTGCAGGACTAATGTCTCAGTGAGGTCTAGAGAAACTCATCTATTCGTTTATCTTCAGTCGCACTGATTACTGAAACAGCATCTTCACAGGTCTGCCTAAAAAGATCAATCCTCCAGCTGATCCAGAACGCTGCTGCTCAGGTTCTCATTAAAACCAGAAAGATAGAGAGCACATAAGCCCAGTTCTAAAGTCCCTTCACTGGCTCCCTGTAGCTCAGAGAATAGACTTTAAAATATTGTTAGTTTATAAATCACTGAACAACTTAGCACCACAAAACATTAAAGATCTGCTGTTGTCATAGCAACCTTCCAGAACCTTTGATGTCTTCTGGTTTTGGTTCTTCTCTGCATCCTCAGAACCAGAACCAAACGAGGAGAAGCAGCATTCAGTTTCTACGCACCATGAATCAGGAACAAACTTCCAGAAAACTGCAAAGCAGCCGAAACACTGAGTTCCTTTAAATCTATATTGAAAACTCAGCTGTTTAGAGCTGCTGTTGATCTGTAACAAATGAAACATTGATATTAGACATGTATTGATGATTTTGATGATGACACTTGACAAAACGTAATGTCTGTTATTGGCTTCTCAATTGGTGACTGTATGTTGTTTTTATGACTTTTTATTTTTGTGGTTTGATGATATAAAGCACTTTGAACTGTCTTGTTGCTGTAATGTGCTATTCAAATTAACTTTATTGATTGATTGATGGTTTCTGATATGCTTAATTTTATATTAAGCATTCAATTGACTGAGTTTTGCACCTAAAAATGAACTAAAAACTTTTGTTAAACTAGCTGAGCTCTCTTTAGAAAAGGTAAAGATTCAATTTAATTTATAAATCAAGGTCCCAGAGAAACCTAGAGGAAGTGTGCAGAGCTTGAATGAACTGAATTATTAAAATAAAATAAGTTCTCAATGATATTCTAATTTATGGAGGTGCGGCTGACCTTTCTGTGTCACAGAGTTCACAGCTGCTGTTCCACTGAGAAACTATTAATGTTCAAATTTCCTGGGTGATGGAGCAATCCCATGAGTGGGACAGGCCTGTAGCTAAAGCTCTTATGATGCGTGACAAAAAGTTATAAAAGCAGAAAGTACAGAACAGAATAAACACAGCTACGCAGATACAGTATGACGGATTACGAACATATTTCTGAACTGATGCGGTCACGCAAGGTCAAGAGACCTGAGTGTGTTAATCCAGTTCAACTTATAAATATATATATATATAT